CACCATAGACCCCCCAACAACCCCACTCTTTCCGTAGCGTTGGTCTAAGTCCTTGAGGCAGAGAGAAAGGAACCAGAGTGATTAGCCAGCCGTAATGGCCCCGCTATATGGCCTCAGTCACGTGGTTCGTGATGTAAGGGAAAGAAATTTAGGGTCATGGCGCTTCCCCTGTTCTAGATTCTATCTCTTCGTCATTTTGACTGACCGGAGTCTATGGTGAGTATGAACTATGTGAATAGGCGAGTTCGGAGAACCCTCTGCCTAAATTTACATCATGTAGTAGTTCTGCTATTGACCTGTCAATATTTGCATCATGTTGTAATTCTGCTTTTAGCTTATATTAGTACCATTATGTTTAATAATTTAGTATATTTTTCAATTTTATTCAGTTCAAAGATGGTGAATCATGAAGATTTGTGCATTGCTGAGGGAAAGGTAAAATACAAGTAGAATGTATGTAGCAATTTTCTATGACTTGAGAGATGTGCACATGTATGCATTTCTCATTTAAAATACTATTGTTGAAAGTGATTTTTTTCCGCAATATATATATATAATATTCCCTCAATGCACTTGCATAATAAAGTATTGAATATCTAGTGGCCACCTAGATTGGCTTTCTTTATATCTATGCATCTTACCACTTTGACTGTGTATTCTGTATGTATAGCACCCTCTATAGTTGACTATTACCGTATTTATCCGGGTATAAGCCCAGGGTCTTGAACATGGAAAATTGCCCAAAAGAAGGGGTGGGCGTTTGCCAGGAGATCCCCGGCAAAAAAAACGAAAGTTCGCGAAAATTGACAACACGCAGTTCGAACTGCGGCAGGGAATAGAATGGCAAATGAAAACATGCAACGGAAATAAATGAACAATATGCAACACTAGAAGTAGAACGAAAATAATGTATTGCTTATAATGTGACAAATAAACCATCGAAAAATCGACAGTGTGGAATCATTTGAATTAGGATTTTCCCGCCAACAAACACGGCCAATACGCGTGAACTCAAAATGAATTAAAATTTCAGGGGTTAAACTGCGTAAAATGATTTCCGGTCTCGACAAATTACGAATCAACCGTCATACAAGATCAATAATAATTTACAAATTTACACAGTAAAAATTATAAAAATTCATAGCTGTTTGAAAAAATTTCTCAGATCTTTATTTGTACGTTCATTGCCATCTTCGTCAAACTCAAAACCCTCAAAGTCCAAGTCGGCGTCACTGTAGCCGTCGAACAAAATCCCTACAACTTATTCCTGAAGTTCGTCGATATCGTCCCACACAATTTGAACTTAGCACTTTTAATCCACGGATTTCGCAGTCTGTCAGCTTGGCACTTTTCATTCATGTCTAATCATAATAAAGAGACAAGAAAAATGGGGTCGCTCTGCTGCGATGGCACACGATGCTTTTGTTTACAGTCTAGCAATTATCTTTGACCTTTATGCATCTGCTTTTTTGATTGGCTAATAATGACATCACTACTAGTATTTCATCATAAAGGTCAAATTGTGACATTGCTTTTTTATCAGACTCGACGCTTATTAATCACGGTGAAAGTTATCATTCAGCAAGTTCCGGCGGTTGGAATGTCTCACTATATGGATATCGCGGTGGACTTGAAATAGGAAGTTTTTTTTTATCCAACGACAGAAGAATGTTTTCATGACGGTGATGAAAGATGGTAAAAAAGTTGGCAGTCTTCGGCGTGAAATTGCAAAATTGCTGACCCCAGTTAGGGATTCGCAAGATGCTACAAAATATTTTATAAAGCCAAAATAACGTGATTTCAACCACTCTCTCAGGTACGGGTTGCTACAATATTGCAACATTGGTTTCATTGTCGACGGCGCTAAAGCCGAACAAGTGCGACATTTGCCTAGCGGCTCTCCTTATACGATTTGCCTGAATCGTTTCTCAGGAAGCACAAACCAAACATATTTCAAAAAGAGAACTACCGTTTTTGCTTTAATATATATTTTTATAGACTTGCTGACTGTTATGATTCAGAACGCGCTGCCCTGAAGGCAGAAAGCTGTCACAGCTATTTTGCGTTCACCCCTTGTTTTACGCAATTAACAATTTTTATAAGTATCGCGACAGACTTCATGAAATTCAACTGTTAATACAACCACAGTCAACGAATAGAAAATAGTTTTTTTTTTTTGTGTGTAGAAAAAGACCCCCTGGGCGTGTGCCCGGATATGACCTCAACTTCTTTATTGTGTCAAAAGTGGGGGGTGGGCGTTTGTCCAGGCATAGGCTCTTACCCAGATAAGTATGGTAGTTAATAGTTCCATGATTCCATTCCATTCATGCATTTCTCAGAAAGTGACGGTGCTCAAGAGCTAGCCTACTTTTTGAGTTTGGCAGTATTTCCATGGCTGTTTATCCAATATATGTATAAATAAAAACCCTTAACTATATGACACCAGTAGCAGTATTCATTCAAGGCCAATAAGCCATATTCCACTCTCTGCGAAATCTCGTGTGACCAAGCTTTATGTCCTTAGCAACCTGTTTTGATCACGTGACACAGGTCAAGCTTTCACCTAGAGACAGTGGCAGTGCCATTGTTCACTCTATTGTATTCCGTTCACACAACAATATCGACTGTACAAAAGCGCAAGTTAAACGCTGCTCTTACGGTGAACGCAAAAGCGATTCTCGATTTCATCTAAAGTATTACACGAATGTTGTCTTTTTTACACATGTTCCAAAACCAAAAACACAACATGAGAAATGTGATCGGTGGATCAGTGCCTGTTCTCGTGCCTATGACTTTGAAAGACACTGGATCACACAAGACACTTACAGTACTCTACCACGTTAGCACCCAGTGTCTTCACACAGAAAATCATGATCTTTTAAGGGGTGGGCGCATACCCGAGCACCCCCTCGGGAAAGAGTGCAAATGACAATTTGAATTCATCATGTGACAGATTGAGGGGATATTGAGGAAAATAAAATTATGAAATTAATTGTGTCGTCATTGAAAGAAGAAACAGAAATAGTCACAAAAAATATGCACATTTTATTAAATATTAATTACGTACCACCCAAATTTACAAGGTTAAAAATATTATAGAGTTTTGGAACACGGTCTGAAGCTTGCCCTGTCTGATGTGGCCGACAACCGTTGTCAGGGTATCTCATGGGATCTCGCAGTGAGCGGAATATCCACTATTTGACTGTTTATTCTTTATGTATAACGCCCCCTATAGATGACTGTCAGTTAATAGTTTACTCATCCATAATATTTATATCATTGTTTATATTCCTGATAATTTAGTCTTGGCTTCTTTTAAATCATTCCATGCACTTTGACTGTGTAAAGATATATTTCATGTGGTACATATATGTAGGTAAAGGGGTCGTCCATAACCTATTGTATATGTCGTAAACAGATTTCCCTACACAGCTTACATGTATGTCTCATGGGAAAATAATGCTTGTATAATATTTCACAAACACTCTATTTTGTTGAAAGAGCATTTAGATCTGTGCTTAGTTTGTAAGACGCATTAGCAGATTGCTTGGTTGATAGAATTAAGTAGTCTTACCGCAGGGTGTTCTTATCAGCAGGGTACACATGCTTTGTATCAGGCATTGTGCTTGTCTACTTTTTTGACTCCCATGTGCGAAGCACAAAGAGGGAGTCTTTGCAGTTAGTGTGTCTGTATGTATGTGTGTGTGTGTGTGTGTGTGTGTGTGTGTGTGTGTGTGTGTGTGTGTGTGTGTATGTGTGTACTTGGATTGCTATATGTTGCGAGGACAAAAATACAGATATATAGCTACTTCCGAGGACATACACACCTTCCGAGGACCTTTTTCATAGTCCTCGGAAAACATAATTTATATTAATAGTTAATTCGATTATTAATACGTTTTGCGTAGCTTAGGT